AGGCAGACAGGCAGACAGACAGGCGAGGAGATACGAAGGCAGAGAGGCAGGCAAACACACACACACAGGCAGACATGTGTGTTTGTCTCTCTATCAACCTGTCTGCCTCTGTGTCTGCTTGCGTGTCTCTCTGTCTCTGTGTGTGTGTGTGTGTTTGTGAGGCAGTCAGGCAGACAAGCATGCAGCCAGAGAGGCAGGCAGACAGGCAGACAGACAGGCGAGGAGATACGAAGGCAGAGAGGCAGGCAAACACACACACACAGGCAGACATGTGTGTTTGTCTCTCTATCAACCTGTCTGCCTCTGTGTCTGCTTGCGTGTCTCTCTGTCTCTGTGTGTGTGTGTGTGTTTGTGAGGCAGTCAGGCAGACAAGCATGCAGCCAGAGAGGCAGGCAGACAGGCAGACAGACAGGCGAGGAGATACGAAGGCAGAGAGGCAGGCAAACACACACACACAGGCAGACATGTGTGTTTGTCTCTCTATCAACCTGTCTGCCTCTGTGTCTGCTTGCGTGTCTCTCTGTCTCTGTGTGTGTGTGTGTGTTTGTGAGGCAGTCAGGCAGACAAGCATGCAGCCAGAGAGGCAGGCAGACAGGCAGACAGACAGGCGAGGAGATACGAAGGCAGAGAGGCAGGCAAACACACACACACAGGCAGACATGTGTGTTTGTCTCTCTATCAACCTGTCTGCCTCTGTGTCTGCTTGCGTGTCTCTCTGTCTCTGTGTGTGTGTGTGTGTTTGTGAGGCAGTCAGGCAGACAAGCATGCAGCCAGAGAGGCAGGCAGACAGGCAGACAGACAGGCGAGGAGATACGAAGGCAGAGAGGCAGGCAAACACACACACACAGGCAGACATGTGTGTTTGTCTCTCTATCAACCTGTCTGCCTCTGTGTCTGCTTGCGTGTCTCTCTGTCTCTGTGTGTGTGTGTGTGTTTGTGAGGCAGTCAGGCAGACAAGCATGCAGCCAGAGAGGCAGGCAGACAGGCAGACAGACAGGCGAGGAGATACGAAGGCAGAGAGGCAGGCAAACACACACACACAGGCAGACATGTGTGTTTGTCTCTCTATCAACCTGTCTGCCTCTGTGTCTGCTTGCGTGTCTCTCTGTCTCTGTGTGTGTGTGTGTGTTTGTGAGGCAGTCAGGCAGACAAGCATGCAGCCAGAGAGGCAGGCAGACAGGCAGACAGACAGGCGAGGAGATACGAAGGCAGAGAGGCAGGCAAACACACACACACAGGCAGACATGTGTGTTTGTCTCTCTATCAACCTGTCTGCCTCTGTGTCTGCTTGCGTGTCTCTCTGTCTCTGTGTGTGTGTGTGTGTTTGTGAGGCAGTCAGGCAGACAAGCATGCAGCCAGAGAGGCAGGCAGACAGGCAGACAGACAGGCGAGGAGATACGAAGGCAGAGAGGCAGGCAAACACACACACACAGGCAGACATGTGTGTTTGTCTCTCTATCAACCTGTCTGCCTCTGTGTCTGCTTGCGTGTCTCTCTGTCTCTGTGTGTGTGTGTGTGTTTGTGAGGCAGTCAGGCAGACAAGCATGCAGCCAGAGAGGCAGGCAGACAGGCAGACAGACAGGCGAGGAGATACGAAGGCAGAGAGGCAGGCAAACACACACACACAGGCAGACATGTGTGTTTGTCTCTCTATCAACCTGTCTGCCTCTGTGTCTGCTTGCGTGTCTCTCTGTCTCTGTGTGTGTGTGTGTGTTTGTGAGGCAGTCAGGCAGACAAGCATGCAGCCAGAGAGGCAGGCAGACAGGCAGACAGACAGGCGAGGAGATACGAAGGCAGAGAGGCAGGCAAACACACACACACAGGCAGACATGTGTGTTTGTCTCTCTATCAACCTGTCTGCCTCTGTGTCTGCTTGCGTGTCTCTCTGTCTCTGTGTGTGTGTGTGTGTTTGTGAGGCAGTCAGGCAGACAAGCATGCAGCCAGAGAGGCAGGCAGACAGGCAGACAGACAGGCGAGGAGATACGAAGGCAGAGAGGCAGGCAAACACACACACACAGGCAGACATGTGTGTTTGTCTCTCTATCAACCTGTCTGCCTCTGTGTCTGCTTGCGTGTCTCTCTGTCTCTGTGTGTGTGTGTGTGTTTGTGAGGCAGTCAGGCAGACAAGCATGCAGCCAGAGAGGCAGGCAGACAGGCAGACAGACAGGCGAGGAGATACGAAGGCAGAGAGGCAGGCAAACACACACACACAGGCAGACATGTGTGTTTGTCTCTCTATCAACCTGTCTGCCTCTGTGTCTGCTTGCGTGTCTCTCTGTCTCTGTGTGTGTGTGTGTGTTTGTGAGGCAGTCAGGCAGACAAGCATGCAGCCAGAGAGGCAGGCAGACAGGCAGACAGACAGGCGAGGAGATACGAAGGCAGAGAGGCAGGCAAACACACACACACAGGCAGACATGTGTGTTTGTCTCTCTATCAACCTGTCTGCCTCTGTGTCTGCTTGCGTGTCTCTCTGTCTCTGTGTGTGTGTGTGTGTTTGTGAGGCAGTCAGGCAGACAAGCATGCAGCCAGAGAGGCAGGCAGACAGGCAGACAGACAGGCGAGGAGATACGAAGGCAGAGAGGCAGGCAAACACACACACACAGGCAGACATGTGTGTTTGTCTCTCTATCAACCTGTCTGCCTCTGTGTCTGCTTGCGTGTCTCTCTGTCTCTGTGTGTGTGTGTGTGTTTGTGAGGCAGTCAGGCAGACAAGCATGCAGCCAGAGAGGCAGGCAGACAGGCAGACAGACAGGCGAGGAGATACGAAGGCAGAGAGGCAGGCAAACACACACACACAGGCAGACATGTGTGTTTGTCTCTCTATCAACCTGTCTGCCTCTGTGTCTGCTTGCGTGTCTCTCTGTCTCTGTGTGTGTGTGTGTGTTTGTGAGGCAGTCAGGCAGACAAGCATGCAGCCAGAGAGGCAGGCAGACAGGCAGACAGACAGGCGAGGAGATACGAAGGCAGAGAGGCAGGCAAACACACACACACAGGCAGACATGTGTGTTTGTCTCTCTATCAACCTGTCTGCCTCTGTGTCTGCTTGCGTGTCTCTCTGTCTCTGTGTGTGTGTGTGTGTTTGTGAGGCAGTCAGGCAGACAAGCATGCAGCCAGAGAGGCAGGCAGACAGGCAGACAGACAGGCGAGGAGATACGAAGGCAGAGAGGCAGGCAAACACACACACACAGGCAGACATGTGTGTTTGTCTCTCTATCAACCTGTCTGCCTCTGTGTCTGCTTGCGTGTCTCTCTGTCTCTGTGTGTGTGTGTGTGTTTGTGAGGCAGTCAGGCAGACAAGCATGCAGCCAGAGAGGCAGGCAGACAGGCAGACAGACAGGCGAGGAGATACGAAGGCAGAGAGGCAGGCAAACACACACACACAGGCAGACATGTGTGTTTGTCTCTCTATCAACCTGTCTGCCTCTGTGTCTGCTTGCGTGTCTCTCTGTCTCTGTGTGTGTGTGTGTGTTTGTGAGGCAGTCAGGCAGACAAGCATGCAGCCAGAGAGGCAGGCAGACAGGCAGACAGACAGGCGAGGAGATACGAAGGCAGAGAGGCAGGCAAACACACACACACAGGCAGACATGTGTGTTTGTCTCTCTATCAACCTGTCTGCCTCTGTGTCTGCTTGCGTGTCTCTCTGTCTCTGTGTGTGTGTGTGTGTTTGTGAGGCAGTCAGGCAGACAAGCATGCAGCCAGAGAGGCAGGCAGACAGGCAGACAGGCAAACAGGTAGACAGGCATGCGGGCAGAGAGGCAGACAGGCACGCAGGCAGAGTGGCAAGCAGACAGGTAGATAGACACGCAGGCAGAGAGAGGCAAGCAGACCTGTAAGGTTGTAATGATTTTTTTTTATTTTTTTTTTTCACGGCTCCAAGTATAGGCCTGCGTCCAGTGGCAGATGTTGATGTGGCCATGGTCTCGGCCTGTACCACCGTTGGCGTGGATCTGGGCCCGGGCCTGTACAGCCGTTGACCTCGGTCTAGCCAGGTCGCCGTTGACTTGGGTGTGGGCCCGGGCCTGTACAGGGAACACAGGCTAGGAGAAGGCCACGGAGACAGGCCCGAGGAAGGTCGGGCAGCTATGCCCAGGCACGTAGGATGCAACAGATAGGCAGGCATAACATGCAGCAGACAAACAGGAAGGCATGCCCGAGGGCAGGCATGCAGCAGACAGACAGGCAAACAAACACGCAGACACATAGGCAGACAGACATGCAGACACATAGGCAGACAGGCGGAGAGATAGGCAGGCAGACAAACATGTATGCAGGCAGACAGGGAGGCAGACAGGCAGACAGGCAGGCGGGGAGATACGAAGGCAAACAGGCAGATAGGCAGGCACACACGGAAGCAGACACGCAGGCAAACACGCATGCAGACACGCAGACAATTCTATCTATTGACTGCCTGGTTAATTTATTTTTTGTTTATATCAATCAATCAATCAATCAATCAATCAATTAATCAGTCAATCAATTATAATCAATCAGTCTCCTTTTTTTTTGCTTTTTTTTTGTTGTTGTTTTCCCTTTCAAAGGTCAGGCTGTGCATAGGCGCAGACTGGGTGTTCGGTCTAGGCGTAGGCC